GGGGGGGGGGGGTCAGGGTTTTGGGGTGCCCTGTGGGGGAGATTTTGGGGGGCAACCAGCAGCATTTGGGAGCTGGGTGGCTTTTTTGGGGGGGCAGCTGTTTTGGAGGGACCCCCAGTTGGGGGCAGGGTGGTTTGGTTGGGGTCCCCCCTTGGGGTTTTGGGGTCTTCTGGGTTCATTTTGGGGGGGCCCTGGGGTGATTGGCGGGGGGGGGTTCACTTTGGGGTTCCCCAGGCACCCCGTTTGGGGGGGTCCCACCTCCTCTTGCAGTGCTTAGGGAAGATCTGGGGGTACACCAGGATTTTGGGGGGCACCACCATTGCTTTGGGTACCCCCGTGGCTCTTTGGGGGTGCCCCATTTTTGGGGGTGCCCCATTTTTGGGGTCCCCCCTTTTTTGGGGTTCCACCTGCTCTGACCCTCTTAATCTCTCACTCAATGCCTGGGACAAGTGGGGGGCTGTTTGGGGGTGTCAGCGCCATTTTGGGAGCTCCCAAAGTAATTTGGGGGGACTCCCAGGCATTTTGGGGTCCCAGAGCATTTTGGGGTTCGCCAGGGTCAGTGCTGGAGTGACCCCAGTTTTTGGGGTGCCCCTTCTTGGGGCTTCCCCGGCCGGCTTCATGAGCCGGGGGCAAGCTTTGGACCTGTGGGGTTTGATATTTTGGGGGGGGGCCCAGGGCAAATTTTGGGGTGCTGGGGGGGTGGTGGTGTGGGTTTTGGGGTGCCAGATTTTGGGGTCCCACCTGGCTGCCAGGCGCTTGTGCAGAGCCACGAGTTTCTTGACGTGTTTTTTGCGCAATTCCTTCAGTTCTCGGTATTGCTGCTTCAAAAGCTTCACGTACGCCTTGTGCTGCCGCAGCTCCTCCACCGACTGCGGGGACACCTCTGGGGGGGTTTGGGGGTTCGGGGGGGTCCCCAAAACTCCCCCCCCGCGGGGGGGGCATGTAAATTTGGGGGACCCCCCATAAGCTGAAAATGGGGGCTACAGCTTTCTAGGAGCAACCTGGATGTTCCATGGTAGCAAATAGGGGGAATTCGGGGTTTCAGGGGAGATTCGGGGGTGCAGGGGGGATTCAGGGGTGCAGGGGGTCCCCCCAAAACTCCTCGGGGGGGGACAACAATTTGGGGGACCCCCCCATGATCTGAAAATGGGGGCTACGGCCGTGCCAGGGCACTCTCTGTCTCTTTTGGGTGACCCAGGGTGAAGATGTGTTGGAGGAGGAGAATTTGGGGGTTCAGGGGAGGATTTGGGGGTG